TCAGGGACACAGGCAACTCAGGGGCACACATTTTATTCAGACCCAGAGGTGGGAGCACAGGACAGGAGGGAGAACTTGGTCATGGGTCAAGAGGATGAGGGCTACGCTGCATGTCTATGGAGACAGTATTCGGAATCAGCACTGCACTCACAGTGGCTTGTCTGTGGAGCTGTACAGACCCCAGCCTTAGATTCAGATGCTTCCTTCTCTTTCCTGCTCCCCTTCCCCACACGGTCCCATTGCCTGGGGCACAGAAGTTCAGCCTTTGGCAGAAGGGCCCTGCAGCCAGCCTCCTACACTTTCCTACACTGAACCCTTTGCTTCTGCCCTGGCCCCAACCGCAGCTTCATCCTGGCCCTGAAGACAAGAAAGATAAGGTTCGGCAGACTTAGAGACATAAGGGACACTTGCCTCTGAATGGGGCCCATCCCTCCCCACATACTGTTTTAGTCTTTCCTCCCTTAGATCTTTAAAGGTTAGTGTTAGTCTTAGGGAGCATAAAAGCAGCCAAACTCCTTTCCCTCCTCCTCTCCTTCCCCTTTCCTCTCCTCCCCTTCTCCTCTCCTTTCCTCCCATCTCTCCTTTCCCCTTTCTTCATCCCTCCTTCCCTCCAGATGTGTCTTTGTGTAGACCTAATGAAGACACTGGCCTCAGTCCTAAAGTCTACTTTATCCTTTCTCTGGGTAGAGAGATAGGACAGAGACTCTTCCACTGACAACACAAGAGGCTGTGAAAGCTTGGGTGGGTAGACTTTAGCTTATTTCTTAAGTGTTTTCCTAAATATAAATAAAAATGAGGTAGTTGAAGAGACAGCTCAGCAGAGAAGAGGGCTTGCTGTCCTCCCAGAGGACCTGAGTTTGGTTGCCAGCACCCATGTGAGGTGGATCACAACCTGTAACTCCAGTTTCAGAATTCATCACCTTCTTCTGACTTCTGTAGGTATCTGCACACATGGCATATTTTCAAACATGCAGACACACACAATTTAAAATCAAAATGAGGCCTGGGGAGATGGCTCAGCAGTTAAGAGCACTGACTATTCTCCCAGAGGACCCAGGTTAAATTCCCAGCACCCACAAGGCAGCTCACAACTGTCTGTAATTTCAATTCCAGGAGATTTAACACTCTCATGCAGACATACATGTAGGCAAAATGCCAATGCACATAAAATAAAATAAATAATTTTTAAAGATTTATTTATTATGTATGCCTGCATGCCAGAAGAAGAGATAACCAGATCTCATTACAGATGGTTGTGAGCCATCATATGGTTGCTGGGAATTGAACTTGGGACCTCTGGAAGAGCAGCAAGTACTCTTGACCTCTGAAACATCTCTCCAACCCCAAATAAATTATTTAAAAAAATAAAATAAAAATGAGTTGGCCATGAGGGAAAGCAGACCACAGGAGAGAAAGAAAAGTACTGTCCAGGTATTCAGAGCAGTCCTTGCCCAGAAACCATGGAATGTGGTACTTGTTACCCTTCTGAAAGCTGTATCCAGTGCAACATATATTGGCTATTTCAGGGTAAGGCCTAGAAACTTTGATCAAGTTCCAGTAGCCAGGTAAGCTTGTCTAAGATGGCAGCCTGGAGCCAGTGGCCTCAGACCAAGGGCAGGAGAGTTTCTGGCTGTTGCTAACAGCCAGGGAAAGCAGAGGGAAATCCCTCAAGGGAGACTCCTGAAGTGAGATCAGTTTTCATACTCCCTTTAGAGCAACTGCATCTGCCTGCTTAACTGTCCTTCCTGCAGTGCAGGCTGCAGTTACACAAGCCACCCTTCCTCCAGTCTGTGTCTGCACAGGCAGTAAGGATGAAATGCACATACTCAGTGTCCATGTTTGTTTTTATAAGACAGGGTCTCACTGGCCTTGGAACTTGCTCTGTCGACCAGGCTGGTCTTGAACTGACAGAGATCCCTCTGTTTTTGCCTCTGAGGTGCTCTGATTAAAAACATGTGACACCACACCCATCCCTACATATTCACTTTTGATAAGATTTTTGTGTTACTTGTTCTTTGTAGTACCCTTTACTATTTTTTAGAGATTTATTTTTATTTAATTAAAAAATATATCTGGGTGTAGTAATTTGAATGTAATTGGCCCCCATAATCTCATAGGGAGTGGCATTATTAGGAGGTGTGGCTTTGTTGGCCTGGACAAGGCTATGCTGAAGGGAATGTCACTGTGGGGGTGGGCTTTGAGGTTTCTTATGCTCAGGGTACTGCCCAGTGTCTCAGTCCACTTCCTGCTGCTGCCTGATCAAGATAACAGCCAGCACCACATCTACCTGCATGCTGCCCTGCTCCCTGCCATGATGATAATGGGCTGAACTCTGAACTGTAAGCAAGACACTCCAAATAAATGTTTTCTTTTCTTCCTTTTATTCCCCCTCTGTTTTGGTTTTTCCAGATGGTTTCTCTGTGTAGCTTTGGAGGCTGTCCTGGAACTCTCTTTGTAGACCAGGCTGGCCTCAAACTCATAGAGAACCACCTGCCTCTGCCTACAAAATGCTGGGAATAAAGGCATGTGCCACCACTGCCAGGTAATAAATGTTTTCTTTATAAGAGTTTCTGTGGTCATGGTGTCTCTTCACAGCAATAGAGACCCTAAAAAACACCACTTATTGTGGTGCAAGTTTTAAATCCCAGCACATGGAATGCAAAGGCAAGCAGACTTCAGTGACTTCAAGGCCAGCCCAGTCTACAAATTGAGTAGGACAGTCAGAGAGAAATCCTATCCCTATTTATGTAGCTAGATATATGGCTCAGCTGTTTAGAGCAATTGTTACTCTTGGGAAGGACTCTAGGTTCTATTTCTAGCACCTACATGGTGGCTCAGAACCAGCTGTGACTCCAGTTCCAGGGGACCTGACACCCTCTTCTGTCCTTCATGATCACAGGGAACCAGGAACACACATGGTGCACAGATACATGCAGGCAGAACATTAATACACATAAAATTTTTTTAAAAATATTTTTAAAGTATTTTTTCTTTTCTTTCTTTCATTTTTTTTTTTTCAAGACAGAGTTTCTCTGTGTAGCCCTGGATGTTCTGGAACTTATTCTGTAGATCAGGCTGGCCTTGAACTCAGTGATCCTTCTGCCTCTGCCTCCCAAGTGCTGGGATTAAAGGTGTGCTACGCCATTGCCCAGCGTTTAAAGTATTTTTTTTCTGTATGTATTTCTATGTGCCTGTGTAATGTGTCCATGGAAGCCAGAGATATCTGACCTCACTACAGCTAGACTTTGGGGCTCTTGAGAGCTGCCTGACATAGATGCTATGAATCTCCATGGGGCCTGGGTAGGAGCAGAACATGCTCAGAGTTTCTAACCCATCACTCCAACCTTATTTGTGTATTCCTTTATTTTAAATTTTGAGGCAAGGCCTTGCCGTAACCTTCACTGGCCTGGTGCTCACTATTAGAATATGCTAATCCTGAACTTGGAGAGTTCCACCAGTTTCTGTTACCAGAGCATTGAAGTTAAAAGACATATTCCATCATACATCACCCTGTGGGTTTGTTGTTGTTTTAAACTTTACATAGCCAGAGCTGCAGAGATGGCTCAGCATTTAGGAGCATTGGCTACTTTTCCACAGGACATGGATTTGATTTCCAGAATTCTTGTGGCAACTCACAACCATCTGTATCTCCAGCTCTAGGAGATCCGACACCCTCTTCTGGCCTCTGTGGACACTGTGTGTACATGATATACAGAAGATATACAAAACATCCATACAAGTAAAAATAAGATATCTGTCTTCTTGTCTTTCTGTCTCTATGTCTATCTATCTATAGCTGTACATGTTCTTCATGATAGATAGGTAGACAGACAGGCAGACAGATAGATGTAGCTGGGGATAGAGGCACACACCTTTAATTCTTGCACTGGCAAGCAGAGACAGGTGGGTCTCTATGGGTTTGAAGCCAACCTGGTCTGTATGATGACTTCCAGGTCAGCCAGAGCTAATTATAAGAAATATGTATCAGTCCAAGTGTTCATCTGTGCATGTGTGAATGCGGGTGTCTATGTAGAATGGAAGAGAGCATGGGATCAATCCTTTTGAAGCTGGAGTTGTAGGTGGTTATTGGCCAGCTGGTGTTCAGTTCTGGGAACTGAATCCAGGTTCTTTGCAGCAGCTGTACATGCTCTTCTTTGCTAAACCATTTCTCCAACCCCTTCTTTCTGCTATTTTGACTCTACATGATAATCTAAGTCCAAGTTTATGCTACAGGCATAGGACTGTATCTGTAGATGAGTTCAGACACTTGCTGACTTTGGATATGGTTCCTTAGTAATCCCCCACTGCTTGTTAGGAATCTCAATTAACTGTATTTTATTCAGTAAACTGCATGTGTGTTGATCATTTGGGGAGTCTCTTGGTACCATCCCAGTCCTAAGGACACCTACATTTAGCAGCATCTCTAGCTGTGAAATACATGTATGGATCCAGGCAGGTGATTGCTTTGCAATAGGACCAGGCTCACCCCACCTGGATCTGAGCAGAGTGTAGAGAAAAACCAGAATCCCAGGGAAGGGTGATGGCTGGGGAACAGGGGTGTTTTGTGCATTGTTACTTATGCTGACCGGTGACCTTTGTATCTGTACCCACTCTGAGAGACAAAAGCTAGCTTTCTGCAATGTGGCCAAGGCTAAAGGCATGAATTTGTAAATCAGTGCCATAGGTGGTCTACAGTGGAAATGGCCTGAGGTGCCTCTGATGCCTGAGGACCTGGGGACATGTGGAGGTACCAGAACAGGTCCTCCAGCTGCAGGTGGTACTCTCGTCACCACCAGCCCTTTGCCCTTTGCAAGTGTATTCTACGGAACCTTCTTCCTACTCTAAAGATTGAATTCATTCACTACCTGCCCATACTTTCCCTGCCAGCTACACTTTCTACAGCTTAGAGCACTTTGGCATGCAGGAGGCCCCCTTCCCACCTCCAACACAGAAAACAAAGGGTTAAATTAAAATAAGAAGAGTCTCTGTGGAGCCAGGTATGGTGGGGCTTGCATACCTTGTAATCAGGGTATTGGTGGGTGGGTGTGAGGGATGGGAGGTGGGTTGGAGATGGGGATGGAAACAGAAGGATCAAGACCAACCTAGTCTATAGTATGGATTTGAGAGGCCAGGCTGGGTTACATGAGACCATGAAACCTATCTCAAAACAAAAAACGAAACCAAAACAAAATACAAGGAACAGCCCATATACATGGGAGGTCTGTGACTTCATCTTAGCTGTAACCCCAGCCTCTTGGAACCTTGCTTTGGGATACTAGGATACTAGGATACATCCTCAGCGATACTTGGAGACCAGTGCCGAAGTCACAAGGCCCAGAAACTTGGCCAGGGAGGCGTGCATCGTTGGGCTGAAGTCTCCAGGATAGTGCCGGGCAAGAGTCACCAGCAGACAGTGGCTGAAGAACTGAAGAAAGAGAAAACAACCCGCCTTACATTTATCTCTCCCCAACACCCAGGCACTCAGACCTGCAAGTGCAGCTTAACCCCAGGACTCACCTGGAAGTTAGCAGGATCCACACGGAGTTTGTGAGCATGTAGATCGCTGAGAGCAGACAGAGAACCAGGCAGGTCGTCCAGGTGGTAGGCAGCAAGAGTCAGTGCTTCCGCCACCTTTTGGCCATGGGCTTTAACCTGGCCAGAGCCGGGGCTCAGGTCCAAGTGTGGGAAGTAAGTTTTGGTGGCGGGGAAAGCCACGAAGGTCCTGTGGGAAGATTGAGTTGGGTGTGTCCGGACCGGGAAGTGTAGAGAGCCCGCCTTTGCCCTGCCGTCCATTGGAAGGTGAGCCTGAGGATGCCCTACTGGGTCCGTACCTCTCCAAGGCCTCTGTCGTGTAGATTCCGACGTTGGTGCTCATCTTCTTCCATAGCGCAAGAACCAGCTCACGGTCGGTCTGGGTCAAAGCCATCTTCACTGAGCCGTGGCCTCGCGCTGGGCTCCTCAGCTGTGTGCAAAGATGCCCGGAACCTAGGATGCCGCAAGGGGGCGCTTCAGCGTTCCAGGTCGCTTAGGTGTTCAGACTCTGGTTCAACATGGACTTGCAGCCCTTTGTCCCTCTGAGCCCCCAAGCCTCACTTTTTAAAGTATTTGCAGTATGTACAATGGTATCCAATATGTACTAACATATTACAATGAATTTTAGTGTGTATTTTGGCACTTCCGATTTATCCTGCCTCCTGAGTCCTTAGGATATTCATAGGCATTCCTTTCTCATTATTGATTGTAAAGAATTGCTTGGCATAACTCTTCCTCGAGGAGCCCATAACCATACTTAGGTCTGTCTTAAATTTTCCTGGAGTATGTCTCTTTTCATTAAATCTCACATAGTTCAATCTACATTTAAAGGGACTGAAGAGATGGCTCTGCAGTGAAGAGCACTGCCTGTTTTTCCAGAGGACCTGAGTTTGATTCCCAATACTCACGTGGCAGCTCACAATTGTGGGTAACTCCAGGTCCAGTGTATCTGAAGCCTTTTTCTGTTCTCCACAGTCATGCAAGTGGTGCACAGACATTCATGCAATCAAAAGCCCATATGTAGAACATAAATTTAAGAAATTTAAATCTACATTAAAAAATCTCTTTAAACTGGGCATGGTTGCACAGGCCCAGGTTAATCCCAGCACCCAGGAGTCAAAGGGATCTCTGTGAGTTCAAGGCCATCCCATTCTAAGTAGGAAATTCCAGGCCTCCTAGAGCTACGTAAGACACTGACTCTACACACACACACACACACACACACACACACACACACACACACCCTTTTAATAAATTCCAACTCTGCTTCAAAAATATATTCTTCTTAAAGTTGTGATAATTAAGTGGATGAGAAATATTATATGCCGGGACCCCAGGACAAGTTCCTTTGGGAATGATAGCCTTTATGGATCCCGGTACTGTATCTCAATGATGATAGCAACAAGCAGTGATGCACTCACTTGGTGGTGTGTGGCACAGTTCACTAAAGATTTTATTTTTATTCCTCTTTCTGTGGTGTGTGTGTGTGTGTCTGTGTGTGTGTGTGTGTGTGTGTGTGTGTGTATGCACGCGCATGCCCGCACACACACTCCACCTCCCAAGTTCTGGGATATAGGCATGTGCCACAAGGCCCTGTGTAGTTTAGCTATCTTTGATGTGTGTAAGTCAGTGACCTTCTGTTCTTTCACAGTTATGCAGATCATCCTTGCTACTCATTTCCAGAATTCTTTCCTCACCTAACTAGAACCTCCAGGCCACTAGCCATAACTGTTCTTCCCTCTCCTAAAGCCCCTGCCCACCAGGGCTTGGGATGGACTGCTGCCGGGTCTTCTGCTGCTGCAGACCCAGAGCCTGCTCTCCTGAGAGAAAGCATGTATGTGTGTGGAGGCATCTGGTTATGCCTCTTTGGCTCTGAACTCCATCTTTACTGTGGAGAGGGACATTAGTACAGGGCAGATAAATGAGTGCCAAACTTGCCCCAAAGACTGGGTCTTCATTTCTGGATGGCCCTCAGATGTTAGTGTTCAAAGAGTGTGCCTGAGGTGTGACACCAGCATAGATTGGTTTGGTGTCCCAGCTGCACCCCGCATCCCCAGTTTCATTCATATTGTGCTTTTGGGCTTCTAAGGGTGTCTAGAGGAGGGTGAAGGAGGGTTCAGAATCACTCTGGAAAAGGAAGGTCTGGGCCAGCCACTCACTGGTTGTGAGTGTGTGTGTGTGTGTGTGTGTGTGTGTGTGTGTGTGTGTGTAAAGAAAGGTAGCGGTAGGGAAGGAAATTATTGCGACAAACTTATGTTCAGCCAGGATAGGAGTGAACCCAGGACTGCGGGACAGGGCATTGTCCAGAACCCTGGGCAGAGGACTCTGCTTGGCCTCTTCTCTTCCCTGTACTTTTTCTTCTCTATCCACCCTGTTCTTGTCTGGCCTTCTGCTTCAGCACAGGAGACCTAAGTCCCAGTCTAAGGATGTGTCCCCCCCTAGGTTTCCCCACACCAGTCGGGACACCTTTGCAGAAGCAAACAACCCAGGCACACAGGCTTCTTCCTACTTAGGCTTTATTCAAAGACCAAGAGGTACAGGTGCGGGGGAGGGAAGAGGGCCTGGCCAGAAGGCAAGCCCGGCAGGAGGCAGCCCCGGGGCTCCAGTTTAACGGTACTTGGAGGTCAGCACGGTGCTCACAGAGGCAAGGAATTTGTCCAGAGAGGCGTGCACCGCGGGGGTGAAGTCGGCCGGGTGGTGGTTGGCCAGGGTCACCAGCAGGCAGTGGCTCAGGAGCTGCGGAGACAGGAAGGGTCAGTCCTTGGCAGTAGACACCTAGGCAGTCGCCTGGGCTCCACTTTGTGACACCCCTGTGTTCCCTGCCCTGGGCTCGAGGGGCCCCACGCCCTCCCTGCGGGTCCCAGATCCTGCTCTACCGCACCCTCCGCCTATGCCGCCATCAGACCCGACCCGAGCACACACCTTGAAGTTGACAGGGTCCACACGCAGCTTGTGGGCGTGCAGGTCGCTCAGAGCGGACAGGGCACCGGGCAGGTCATCGAGGTGGCCAGCGGCGTTGGCCAGGGCGTCTGCGACCTTCTTGCCGTGGGCCTTGACCTGGGCAGAGCCGTGGCTGGTATCAAAGTGAGGGAAGTAGGTCTTGGTGGTGGGGTAGGCAACGAACATCCTGCGGGAAGAAGGTGGGAGGAGGGGTTGAGGTGACTGGAAAGCGCAGTTAGGGGCTGCCCGCTGAGCGCCAGATCTGCTTTGATCCCGCCGTGCTTCCAGAGCAGAGGCCCGGCCTCACCTCTCTAGGGCCTCTGCGCCATATTCAGCACCGTGGCCGCCGATCTTGCTCCAGGCACTCTTGATGTTACTCTTGTCTTCCCCAGAGAGCACCATGATGATTCCTTCCTGAGTCTGTCAGAGTCAGAAGTGTGTTGAACCCGCAGCAGGTTGCGCTTATAAACCTGCGGTGCCTGGGACACGCCCTCGGGACGGCCCTCATTGGCTGGCCAGGGCGGTGCACCGCAGACCAAGGTTGGCAGGGGGCGCCCGGGGTCGACGAGGGGGCCATAGGCCTCCACCGGGTGCAGGGAATCCTGATCACCTCCTGGGGTGCTTCTCGCCCCTTCGTTTGTCTCCAGTGATGGGTATTTGGGAAGAAGTAAGAGTCCCTGTGCCTCTCGAAGAGAAGGAAGTTGTTCAGACTAGCCAGAGCAGTGCCCATCCCCCTCCTGCTTCTTGCTCTCGTTCCTAACCCACCCACTCCGTGCTCTAGCTGCACATTCTCCTTCTGGGAACAAGAAGAGTAAGACCCTTGGGACCCACAGGGACCCTCTGCCTGTCTTTCCCTGCTCCCTGTGCTTTCTCCCTCCTTCCTCTCTCTTCTCTTTGTCTACTGTCTCCTCTCCTGGCTCCTCCTTTCTTTTCTTCCCCTTCTCCCTTTTCCTCCTTTTGTGTGGACAGGTTTTGCTCTGTTGTCCAGGCTGGCCTGGAATCCTTTGGCTCAAGTGAACCTCCTGACTCAGCCTTCTAAGTGCAGAGAACTGCAGGAGCAGGTCACCAGATTCTCTGACTGGCATCCAGCTGCCCAGGGCTCCCATGGGTGAAAAGGAAAGAGCTGACAGCTGGATTTGGTGTCACACGTGGGGAACTTCGGGTCCTGGCAGGCTGAGGCAGGAGGATTGCTTGACCCAGGAATTCAAGGTCAACCTCTGCCAAGAGAGACCCCATCTTTTTTATAGCAAGCAGTAGCAAAGAAGCTGGGGTGTAACTGGATGTCAGAATGTTTACCCAGCATGAGGAAGGTTCTGGATTCAGTCCCAGCACTGCAAAAATAAATCCATGATGGGACAGAGTGTGAGGCAGTGGTCAATGGAAACTCCTGGGTTCGGTTCCAACTTCTTTAACTTAAGTAAGGGTGGACAAGCACTTTTTTTTTCCTTTCTGTGCTTACACTAATCTTGTATTTATGACCTTCCTGTTTTCACCTCTCAAGTTTTGGGGTTACAGTTTGTACTAAAATATCTAGCTTAGCTGGGCAGTGGTGGTGAACACTTTTAGTCCCAGCACTCGGGAGGCAGAAGCAGGTGGGTCTCTGTGAGTTTGAGGTTAGCCTGGTCTATAGATGGAGTTCCAAGACAGCTAGGGACATTACACAGAAAAAAACCCTGTCTTGAAAAACCAAAACAAATAAACAAACAAACCACCTGCTTAGTTTTTTTTTTTCAAGCTAAGCCTGGTCTTGAATTAGTTATACCCCTTACCCTGTCTCCATAGTAGCTGGGACCACTACACTGAAGCTATGTTCTGCTTTGATCTGTGTTGTATGTTTAGCTGCTATAGATCAATCACATTTCCAAGGAGGCAGCACATCTCAGAACTTTCCCCCCTGAGATGATCCCCCCAGGAAGGCTGGTTTTCCCCAGGTACGGGAATGGTTCAGAGCCCTTCTCTTCAGATGTTCACACTGGCTCTCAATCCCCATTGCAGCTGCAGAAACGTCCTTGGGCCAAATAGAAGCATGGTCACTGCTGACATGTCAGTGACACAGACACATAGGTTGCCACCCAGACAGATTTTATTTAGATCAAGGCATGCAGGTGTGGGATGGAAGGAGGACTAAGAGGACTGGGGACAGTCCCCCAAGGATCTGGTTTAACAGTGTCTCCAAAAATGTCCAGAATGAAAAGCCACCTCTAGGATGATTTTATCTAAGTGGAAGCTGGCATCATCAGATGTCACAGAAAGAACTACTGTTGATCATTTGTCATAGAGGCAGTAGAGAGCTCCTAGCTTCATTTTCTGGAGCCCTTGGGGTTGATTTTGCTTTCTGAGACCTCTTCCCTTTATCTTTCTAAGCCCTGCTTGCTTGCTGACTTTGAAATTGACCTGGGACACACATAGCTCAGTTCACTCAGAGCTGCCAGGAGAATGGGGAAGTGGTTCGTTAGGTCCACTGTATGGCTTAGCACATGGGTTGAGTCTCGAGTCTGGACGTGTGGACAGAGGCAGGGTTCTGGTTGTAGTCAGGGAAGTGGGTCCTGAGGAAGCTATTGAACAGTCTGTGATGGGAAGCAGTGTGGTGGTGGGTAAGGGGGACTGGGAGGGGTTGGGGAAACTTCAGTTAGGGACTATAGACAGGACCGAGGGGTGGCTTTCATTGTTCCACCCAGGAGTTAGAACAGGGGAAAGGGCAGGAGAGTCTTAGTCTCTCCAGAGTCTCCTAACAATAATCAGCCTTTTAACCTTGCTCCAGATAGCCCCACTGTTGGCCTTATCATCAACAGAGAGAACCATGGTGGGTTCTTTCTTAGTATGGGTCTAAACCAGAACTGCTGGGTCTGGGGAGCACTGTGCATTTATGTACAGTGTTCAGGAGATGGATGAGGAAGTGTACTGTGGTAGGGTGTAAGTGCAGCCAGGTTCTGGGCTGAGCTCATTTATCTGGGGAGGCACTGTAAGGAAGAAGTGCAGATGGGAGGGTTAGGGCTCAGCTCTCATGGCCCCTTAAGTCTCCCAGTACTGTGCAGGCAGAGACCATGCTCTTTATGCTCTAAACTTGTGGTTCTTACACAGTTTCTAGAATCTGCTAAATACACAATCCATCTTTATGTGGCCCAGACTCAGGCTGACTTGGGCAAAGGAGTACAATATTTAAAATTTAACATTTATTTATTTGTTTGTTTATTGTGTGCACATGTGTGTGCCAGTGTGCACGCACGTGGACATACATGTGGCACAAGTGTGGAAGTCAGAGAACAACTTGTAAGAATCATTCGTTCCTTCTACCATATCGGTCTTGGTGATTTAACTTTGGTCCTTAGGCTTCCTGATCCAATTCACCAGCCAGGCAATCTTTTTATTTTTATTTATTTATTTATTTAGGTTTTTTTTTCAAGACAGTGTTTCTCTGTATTGCTTTGAAGCCTGTCTTGGAACTAGCTCTGTAGACCAGGCTAGCCTCGAACTCACAGAGATCTGCCTGCTTCTGCTTCTGGAGTGCTGGGACTAAAGGTATGTGCCACCAACGCCCGGCCAGGCAATCTTATATGTTATTTTCTATCATGTTTTCCCAAGAACTAAGGCTGTTAAGTGTCCATGTAGCAATTGGGGCATAGTTAACTTCCCTTCTTGTCTCTGGTCAGCTAGTGCTCAGATAATTCAGGGTAACAGGTCCTCAGCACCAGCTACTGGAGTAGTTTAGGGAGTGCTTAATAGGGCATCCCTTTTCAGATCTGGCATTATACCAGACCAGGTCTAGTGCTCCCTACATTATGGGGTGTCATTCTGGAGACCATATGTATTCACTGTTTAGAAAGCTTCAGGATCTGCTTTCTTTAGCTTTTGTTCTTTGCCAAGAAACCACAGGAGCCCTGTGATTTTTGCCTCTCCATCAACCTGGGAGTATGGAGGCAGGACTTGGATGAGGCCATCTGGTGGGAAAGCACCTCGAAGTTTAAGTATCCAGGATGGAGTAGGGAGCTACTGTCCAGTGTCCACCATGCACTGTGATTTCAAAATAATTTGAAAAACTTAGTGAGTTCATGATTGTCTGCCTGATAGTGCAGACATGCACAGAATCAATTAACTTGTCAATGTGATCTCTCTGCCACTTTGTGGCCACCAACAATCCCCAAATCTCCCCATGCTATGAGGTTCAGGGAAACAGGTAACCTGTTCCAGGTCAAGCATTGTTGCAGAGAGAGCATGCTAGGAAGGAACAGGAGTGGGAAGGAGAATGAGTAAAGCCTGGGCCTGCCCAAATTTATCAGGCTTCAGGTTATATACTCGATCCCAAGGGCTTGGTTCCATATTTGTTTGCAAAAGTCCAGGGGATTGGCTTCTGGAAGTCTCCACAAGGGAGATGAAGGGGGAAATGAATGCATATATGCTTTGAGAATGGTATGACACACCTGGGTGCCAGATTTTGCTTGGAAAAGAATACACTGCCCTGCTCCCATCCAAGCTCTCTTTCTGCCCCATGGCACTGCAGAGGCATAACAAGACCAACCTGAATGGACATGTAAGAATTCTAGGGGATTTTCTGAGGGATACTGAACTTTTTTGCCCTGCAACAGAGATGTAACCTGTCTAGTTTTCCAAAATGTCACACATCATTTTGAAACCTCTGTTAATGGATGTGCACAGATTGAGCCCAGAGCCTTGGCAGTACTTTTCAGTCAGCACCACACCACTTGTCCCTCTCTAACTGCATCTCCATTGTGAACTCACCCTGCAGATGGGAGGAGGCCAGTACCACCCTGAAACACTGGAGTGTATCAGTTTTAGGAAGAGGGACCCGTCAATCATTCAGCCACAGTAAATCCTGTTGAACTCACCCAGCTGTGCTCTGGACCCTTATGTAGGCTGAATAAGCTCATAGGAAAGTTGTAGAGTCCACCCGAAGCACCAGAGATTATCAGATGCTGCACAACAAAGTATATAGCAGGAGCATGTGCAGTCTGAGGCTTAGCACCTCTGGCAGGCAGGCATTTATTTAGTTGCAGGAAATCTTGGTAGTGGGGTTCAGTGTGAATAGCTGACTCAGCAGGTTAGGGAGCAGGCTGGGCAGCCATGTGGCTCCCACTAGCCCTAACACTGTTCAACGACCCAGGAAAACCTCAGGTGAGCCCTGTGTCCCACATCCCTGACATGGTAAGGCAGAGGACTAAGATCTGATCGAAGACCTGCGTGGGCTGGTCCTGGGATGCTTCCTAGAGGCCATGGAGACCCCGTCATTTCCATCTGAGTAACAGCTGCGCCCCTAAGTGTTCCTGGTGGCAGATGGTCAGGTGGCAATGTGGACGCACTCCCGGGTGCTGAGTGGAGTGTTCAGGGGGCTACGCGCCCCACCACTTCATCAGAGCCCCTATACCCAGCTCGTCCTGATCCGCTGAGCTCAACAGGAACTCAGAGCCCCTCTGTGTACACAGAAACATGCCCAGAGTGAGAACTGTGGACAGGGCTTCTGGAAAGGGCTTGGCTTGCTCTTGTGTGTGGATGTCTTTGTTTCGAACTCGCAGAACCTTAATTACTCATATGAAGACAGTTACTGCTCTGTCAGGAGGGAGCCAGGAAGAAGCTGGCCAAAAAGTCTTCTGTTCTTTTAAGCACAAGGACAATTGCTCCCCCAGTTGCTAGGGAGGTGGGAGCTGCGATGTCAGACTTTGGGGAATTCCTAACACCCACCCACCACTCTGTGCTAAGGGATTAAGGAAAGGGAGGAGAAGAAGCCCAGCTGGCCCTGGGATGCTCTGCTTTTTGCTTGCTGTGACTCTGGGGTTCTCAAGGACAAGACCCTTCCCCAACTACCCTAAGAAAGTCCTCCAGGCAGTATATGATACTAGGATCCTAGTATACTAGGATCCACAATGTTCTTGAGAAGCCCTTGTGCATCCCGTAGCGTCCCCATCCCGGTTTCCCTCCAAGAACACAGGTCCAGTTATTTCCATCTTCAACCATTTATTGGGGGCTACGGAAAAGACCCAAGGAAGGGTTCAGTGAAGGGGAGGAAAGGGGTCGTAGCCCTTCTTGCGGGTCGTGGTGGTGGTGCTTAGCGGTACTTCTCAGTCAGGATGGAAGACAGGATAGACATAAACTTGTCCCAGGCTTCGTGGACTTCAGCCGTAAAGTCAGTGGGGAAGCGTGCTGCCAGTGTGACCAGCAGACAATGGGACAGGAGCTGCGGAGGCAAGAAGGGAGATTCAGTGCACAGTGTTGCAGAGAACCCACCCGCTTTCCTCCTTTGTGTCCTTCCCTGCTGATCTCCCCTTCCGTCCTCACAAACCCACCTTAAAGTTGACGGGGTCCACACGGAGGATGTAGGCATGCAGCTCGCTCAGCTTGGTCAGAGCACTCTCGAGGTTGTCGATGTTCTTAACAGCATCGCCTACAGCAGCCAAGATCTTGGAGCCGTGGGCACGCAATTGCTGCGACCCGTGGTGCAGGTCAAAGTGCGGGAAGTAGGTCTTCGTCTGGGGGTAGCTGCAGAAAAGCCTGGGGGTCGCGAGAAACTGTTAGATTGCTTTGTGGGTGTTTCTTTAGGCGGAGGGCTAGGGCCCTGGCTCTTGCCTTGGGCTAAAAATTTAAGGGGTAGACAAAGAACTACCAGTCAGAAAAAGAAAACAGTATTTTATGCAGTGTTTTAAGAAATAAAATTAGGGGCTGGAGAGATGGTTCAGTGGTTAAGAGCACTGACTGCCCTTGAAGAGAGCTTACAACCTCCTTTAACTAAGGTGCAAAGGATCTGATGCCTCCAGCTTCGGCTGGCACCTGTGCTCACAGGCACACACACACACACACACACACACACACACACACACACACACAGACACACACACACACACACACACACAATAAATCTTAAAAAACAAAACAAAACAAAAAATAACCCAAGGTTGATGTTACTATTTTCTATTGCACCAGGCTCCATATGGCAAGGCATCTACTCACTGTCACTCCTTAGTTCTTCCATTCATTTCTGTTCATTCAACAAAGACTTGTGGAGCCATGTGGAGGACTTTGGTGTGGGCTGTGAATGCCCATCCAGCTCCTCTAGCCGCTCATCAGCCCATCCGGACCCCCTCCTTATGAGTACTCTTCTCCTGGACAGCCTCTTTTCATTACCATGTCTCCCTCACTGCCTCTGCCCTTGCCACCCCCTCATGGCCCCTCCTCAGTGGCTTCTCCCTGCTAACGTCTTCTTGTCACTTGTCACCTTCTTACTGATCCCCGGCCTCCGACTGAAGCCACGGTGCCTGGACTTACCTCTCCAGAGTCTCGGTGCCGATGGCCTCAGCCTGGGAAGCCATCTTGTCCCACATGGACATGACAATAGCTCTCTCATTCTTCATCAGAGACATGATGGTGGTGGTGAGGGTTGGAGGCTGTGCTGGAGCTGAATGCACTCAGGGTTGGCCTGATGGTGCTTGTCCCCAGTGTCCCCTTATATACACAAAGTCAGAGGCCCAGCCAGGCTGTGGCCACTGGTTGGGGGAGGGGAGGGGGCTTGCAGGATGGGGCCTGTTATCAGACACAGTGACCCACAATGGGAATCGGGGCTTGGTGGGACTTAGAGGCCAAGTGTTATCGCTCCTGCCCACTCCCCTTCATCTAAAGGTGGTGTTGGTCACAGTTCTGCACAGAATCCAGGAGAGATAGGGGCCCAGCCATGTCAGGAGGTCATTCCTGTGTCCGGATCTTCACTGTCCTTCATTTCAGAATCACAAACTGTTTATGCCATCCTATTCCTTAGTTCCTGTAACCACTGGGTTTCCTCCAAGGAAGTAGTAGTCCCTCTCACTCAGCACCAAGGGAAGAGTATGGAAGTCTGTCCCCACTAGGAGTGACAGGTTAACAAAAGAAAATCAATTTGCACCATAGCCCTCCATAGCAGCCAGTATCTGGTGAAACACATGATTCTTTTAGTTTACCTTAACATGTAGTGAAGTTGATTTGTTCATTGTCTTCTGAATTGACACATATGTAGATTTATGTAACAGAATCACAAACAGGATAGAGAATAGCTCTGTCATCCCAGAAACCCCCACAGCCACCCATTTGCTGCCTCATCTTCCTCTTGCTCCCAACCTAAGCCATGTTAATCCATGTTTTTCAAAAATTTGTATAACTGTAACAGTACTGCATCCTTTAGACTGGCTTCTTTCGACTTGCCTACTATTCTGTAGATTCATCTGCAGTATCATCAGTTGGCTACTCTTTATTTTATGGTTTGAATATTGCAGCAGTTTATCCTTTCATTCACTGAAGTACTTTGGCGTCATTTCTAGTGTGAGGTTATTACAAATAAAGATGCGTTGAATATTCATAGGGAAGTCTGTGCATGAACATAGGTTTTTATGTCTCTATCTCTGTGTTTGTAAATATAGCTATACCTAGAAGTAAAATTGCTGGCATATGCAAAATGGGTATTTAACTTTATAAGGAATGCCACACTGTCTTCATGAGTGTCTTTAGTGGTTTACATTTCTATGTGTATCATTGCCAGAGTTTTTGGATCTTAGCTGTTTTGACAGGTAAATAGTGGTGTAACATTGTGGCTGAGAATCGTGTTCCTCTGATGGCCAGTGATGGGGAATATCTCTCCATATGGCTATTTGCCACCCATACATTATCTTTGGTAGCCTCATTGCCCAAGTACTCTGTCCACTTTTGAACTGAGCTATTTTCTTGCTGATGGTTTATGGTCATTCTATGTTTACCTGGATGCCTTTCTTTTTGTCAGATAGTCTGTTCACAAATATCTTCTATTAGTTTTTTTACTTTTCTATTTCATCCTTTAATTTTTTCCATTTATCATTTATTTGTTTTGTGTGTAGAGGCAAGCATGTGCCATAACACATGTGGAAGTCAGGGGACTGTTAACTCACATTGCTAAGCTTGGTGCTAAGCCTCTATCCACTTAGTGAGACATCTCACCTAGCCCTCTGTTCATCTTAATAAAGTTTTGCAGAGCCAAAGTTTTAATTTTGATGAAATCTAGCTTATCAAGCTTCTATTTTAGAACTCATTCTTTTGGGCTGGATTTAGTGGCACACACCTTTGATCTCAGTACTCAGGAGGCAAAGACAAATGAATCTTGGTGAAACTCAGGACAACCTAGTCTAAATAATGAGTTCCAGATCAGCCAGGGCTACATAGTGAGACCCTATCTCAAAATTAAATTAAATTAAGTGGAAGAAAGAATTTTCGTTTTTGAGACAGAGTCGTGAACTATATAGCCTTGGCTGTTCTGGAACTTGATATGTAGACCAGGCTGGCTCATAGAGACCCACCTACTTCTACTTCCCTACTGCTGGGATCAAAGGTGTGGGCCACCATGCTCAGCTTAAGAAATAATTCTTAAGAATTCACTGCCACCTGGGTGTAGGTGGCACATGCCTTTAATCCCAGAACTCAGGAGGCAGAGGCAGAGGCAGATGGATCTCTGGGAGTTCAAGGCCAACCTGGTCTATGGAGTGAGTTTCAAAGCAATACAGAGAAACCCTGTCTCAAAAAAAAAAAAAAAAAAAAAAAAAAAAAAAAGAATTGACTGCCTAAACACAAAACACAAAGGTTTTTATCTATATTTTCTTCTAAAAGTTTCATAGTTTGTTTTATGTTTGTATACATGATTCATTTTTAGATAATTTTTGTTAACATAAGGTTAGGTCTATGTTAATCTTTTTCTTTTTGGCCATGGACAGTTGTTCCACAGTTAATTGTGGCAAAGACTCTAGGTTTTCTATTAAATTCACTTCTCATACTAATCAGTAAAAACTCTATTGGCTAGTCTAGGAATATGTGCTCACCTAGTTTGTGTGAGGTCCTGGATTCAATCTTCAGGCTTATGTTCCCCACACCATGCTAATTAGCTATCACTGCTCTACATCTTGGCCAAAATGAGTGGTTTTTTTTTTTGTTTGTTTGTTTGTTTGTTTTTTGAGACATGTTTACTCTGTGGTTTTGCAAGCTGTCCTGGAGCTAGCTCTTGTAGACCAGGATGGTCTCGAACTCACAGAGATCACAGAGATCCACCTGCCTCTGCCTCCTGAGTACTGGGACTAAAGGTGTGCGCCGCCGCCGCCGCCGCCCAGCAATTAGCCATCTTTTTATTACACTTATTGTGTGTGTATGTGCCACAACTTTGAGAGTCAGTTCTTGTCTTTCTACCTTGTGGATCCTAGGGATGGAACTTGGGTCATCAGGTTTGGCAGCAAGTGCCTTTACCCACTGAGCCATCTTGCTGGCCCAAATTAGCCATACTTTTATAAAATAGTTTCTGGACACTATTCTGTCCCATTGACTTACACACCTATGTTAAGCCACAATGACACTGCCTTGATTACTATAGCTTTATAATAAGTCTTAAAGCTGAGTAATACCCCGTAGATTGAGAAAAATAATTTTTTAAAATTTATTTTATATAACAAAGTCCAATTAGATGAAAACAAACATTTATACACAATATTTGGGAATTTGGGCGTTGTTCTTTCCAAACTACTTCCTGCTGGTAAGGGGTGCTGTCATGGGGGATTCGAAGAAGATTCAGATATCCTAGCTGTAGTCTGTAGGGCTGTTTTGTTCAGCTGTTTGGAATGTAGGATCAGCTTGTACTCTGTTTCAGACGGTCTGGTGTGATCAAACCACATTAGTCTGGAAGGAATCCACATCTTTTCATTTTCTGTGGAAACAAAAATAGAAATCCTTTTCCCTAGTAACTTGTCCTTCAACTTAAATTTTGGAGTCAAAGCATTTTTTTAAATTTAATTTATTATTTTACATGTTGATCCCAGTTCCCTCTCCCTCCCTTCCTCCCTCCCTCCTTCTCTCCCTTTTACCTTCTCTGCCCTCTCACATGCACTCTAACCACCCTCCCCTCCCATCCCCCCACCCCAATTCCATATGTAGGGGAATGCCATCCAGTTGGGGTCATGTAGATCTGACAGGTCATGTGAAGTAGGGACTAGGGCTTCTCTCCTGTCTCTAGATTAAGGCAGTTATCCCTCCATGGGGATATGTTTGCAAAGTCCTTTTGTGCTCCAGGGATACATCCTGGCTCCACTGTCTGAGGTCTCTCAGACTGCTCAGTCCTTCTGGCTGAGACCCATATTCAGGGGGGCCTGAGTCAGTCCCATGCTGGCTTCCCAGCTATCAGTCTAGTGGCCGTTAGCTCCTCCTTGTTCAGGTAAGCTGTCTGTATGTGTTTCTGCTGCATGGTCTTGTCCTCTCCATCTGCATCTGGGTTCTAGTTCGACTCAGTGTTTATGTATGGGTGTTTGATCCTGTTTTCAACAGGCATTAGTTGAGGGCTCCATGGAGAAGTTAGTTGTTGATCTCACTCTCTGGGAAGGGCATTTATGATAGCCTTTCCACGGAAGCTCAAATTGTTAGTTGGGAGCAGTCTTGTAGTTCTTTGTGTTCAATTTTATCTTCAAACCAATATTGGCTCCCTCTTTTATGTTCTCTCTCTCTGTCTCTGTTTCTCTCTCTCTCTTTCCTATCTTCTATTCCTAACCAGGCTCAATCTTCCTGGTCGCACATGTTTTCCTTTCCTCCCCCTCATTTTCTCCTACTTCTCTCTCCATTTGCTGCCCCCCCCCACTTCACCTGAGCTCTGGGGGACTTGTCAGAAAAATAATTTTTATTTACTAATTGATTTTTATTTTTTAATTTAATTTTTTTTGTGTGTTTTGTTTTTTCAAGACAGGGCTTCTCTGTGTAGTTCTGGTTGTCCTGGAACTCGCTCTATAGACCAGGCTAGCCTAAAATTCAGTGACTTGCCTGCCTCTACCTCCTAAGTTCTGGGATTAAAGTTTTTTTTACTACCACTGCCCAGCTATGTTTTGTTTCTTTGAGAGGGGGGTCTTGTTATGTGGTTTAGGCTGGTCTTGAATTTGTGATCCTCTTGCTTCTATTTCCCAAGTTCTGGGATTACAGGTGTGTGCCACATGCCTGGTTTTTAAAAAATTGACAATAATATGTCTAATAAAAAACTTATCTAAACTAAGGAAATTGGGGCTAGCTCAGTAGTAGAGCCCATTCTTAGCATGAACAAGGCCATGAGTTTAGTCCATATACCAAAACTAAAGCAAAACCATAATTTGAATGTTATCCCCAAAAAGTGTGTGAGTGTGTGTTCTTTAGAAACAGAGTTTCTCTGTGTAGCCCTGGCAGTCCTGTAACTTGCTCTGTAGACCAGTCTGTCCTTGAACTTAGAGATCTACCTGCCTCTTTCTGCCTCCTGAATGCTGGGACTAAAAACATGGGCTTTTATTTCTGTTTTATTTCTTGATGTGAATGTACAACAGTTTATCTTTTCATTACTAATGGGTTTTTGACTGTTTCTCTGAACAAGATCTACAGAACCATGCATGATGCTGATTGCCTATGATCCCAGCATTTGGAAGGCTAAGGCATGTAGATTATCACACATC